AGTTTTAGGCCTATGTTGCTGAAGTTGTTCTACCTAAGAAAGATAAAAATCTGCAGTTTTGTATGGAACTTTACAACGCATCGAGAAACTTCGATACCCTTTTCTTGTACGAAGCTTGCATCAGAAGCATTTTAGGAAACAGTACTTATTTCGGAAAAATAAAAATCCTTCCAAAGGTGAAAAACTTTCGATCTTGTACATTTTTCCCATAAAAATCGCGTTATAGGGATCTGCTTGGGCACGAGATAACTGGATAACAAATAGTCTATGGAGTGAAGAGCGAGATTTTATAATTCATGGTTGGAAAGAAAATCAGCTAAAGAAGTATTGGAGAACTCCAGTGGGGTAGGTTTGCAATTATTACGAAAGACATTGACTTCATAGAACCTACGCCTGGGGAAGAAAACTCCTCGTTAAGTTTTCTACGATGAGGATCTAGGAAATAGTTTAATCAGAAAATAAGGAGTGCTCCCCTAGAGGCGTTCATTTAATCACAAATTTGATTTGTTAGATGATGCGATATAAATGAAAAATGCATCCTTCTTTAATTAGAAAGCTACCGTATTCATTAAGTCTAAGCGTTGTGCCTGACTCGCATGCGAGTATATCCGGAACATCGGCAGCGTGGAAATTCTGTAGTCGCACGTTAGACCCACAGCACTAGAGAGAAACAGCAGAAAGAAAGTGATTTTGCCACGCCTTAAAGCCGAGAATTTAGACGTGCTTGGATTTGATCCTGCGCAAAATACGCGGGGTACGTATCCAAAGAACGTTCTTGAGCCAAGAAGAGTAGCTTCACGCTCAAACTGTGGGAATCCCTCAGCAACTAAGGTCCAAGTATGCCTTAGAGATAGAGAAAAGGATTGATTGATGTTTCTGCAATAGATTAGAGTGATTATGTTCTGAAGAAATGAATTTATTAGGTTGGCCAAGAAGTAATTTCGGTTGAGTTTGCACGTTTCACACAAGTCTGTATTGGGGTTTTTGAGCATGTGTGGCATTATTTGAAGGAGCACATCACGATGAGTTTATGATTTAGCCTCATCTCAATGCTTATAAATTTTAAAAATTCTACAAGCTTTAGAAAATGCGCCACCAAAATTCGGACTTCGTTTTTGCATGTTCTACAATTTCAAACAAGGAAAAAAGCAGCGGAACCCCATCGAACGTTGTGCACTCCTTTTGGAGAGGAGAGCAGTGAGCGACAGTTCCAGAATTGCTCTTCTTCTTCTTC